ACTTGGGAGGCTGAGGCAGGAGAATCACTTGAACCCAGGAGGTGGAGGTTGCATCGAGTGGAGATCATACCACTGCACTCCAGCCTAGGTGACAGAGCAAGACTCTGTCTCAAAAAAAAAAAGCGGGGGGGGGGGGGGCAGGGGGCGGGCAGTGAATGCACAACAAGAACATATTAGAGTACAAGGACTTGTCCTTTGATCAGATTACCATGAATAGAATCGGTCTGTTGGGAAGATAATGTTGCCTGAATTCAAATATTGAATTATTGTCTCAAATGCTACTTGAGTGTTTTGACAAGTTTGAACAAATTTTTAACCTTGGACCTGCTCTAAATTAATGTCTTTCCTGAATTTTATATGTATATATATATAAAATATCCTAAATTTACAAGGTTTGTAACATACAGTGTTCCTCAATGTAAGGCACAGTGGCTCACGCCTGTAATCTCAGCACTTTGGGAGGCTAAACTGGGTGTAACCTCAGCACTTTAGGAGGCTAAACTGGGTGTACTGCTTGAGTTCAGAGGTCAAGACCAGCCTGGGCAACATAGCAAGACCTTGTCTCATTTAAATAAATTTTTTTAAAAAAAGAAAATTAAGAGTCTAGCATAACATTACAATGACTGTTTTTTCCATAATTTTGGACTTAGCACTTTCAATTAAGTTGAATTGCTATATCTGACTAGAGTGTTAGTAATTTTTCATAGTTAAGAATGCCATAACAAGGGTATATTAATGAAAACAAAGAATGATGAACTGGTTTGGTATAATTATATGTACCAACATAAGGTATGGCCAATAAAACAAATACAAACAGAGGTATCAAAAAGTACCAAATAGCACCATTCAATAAACATACTACGGTTTTCAAGAATAATCACAAAGGAGTATATAAAGATTAAAAAATGTCAAAATTAACCACTAGAAGGCAGTAGCAAGCCATCAGAAAGTAGCTCCTTGTCTTTTATATCGAATAAGTAGCACTATTATTCTCCAATACCCCTGATGTAGTAAAGTTGGTATCTCTAAGAAGCTATTTCAAAAGCTATCAAAAACTTACTAGGTGCAACAGAGCAACATAATCAGCTTAAAATTAATTATGAAAGTCAAAACACCCTTTTTTGTCTAAGAGAACACAGTAAAATTACAAAGATTAACATACACCAGGGTCCAAAGTGTAGGAAAATGAATACTTTCATGTTAGTGGGACTATAAACTGGTATAGACTTTTGGAGAACAATTTGGCAAAATAAAGCAAAATTTTAAATGCACAAAAACTTGTTGAACTATTTGGAATCCAGCTCAAGGACATTCACCAGCAGCATTGTTTGTTATAGTTTAAAAAAAAAAAAACTTGAGACAATCTAGATGTCTATCAACATGGAAATGGTTAAATGAAAACCCATATATAAAATACAAAGAATGTGTTTGTGTATGTGTGTGTGCGCGCGCGTTTGCGCGCGTGAATATATATGTATTTTTAATCTATTTATTTATTTTGAGATGGAGTCTTGCTCTTGTAGTCCAGGCTGGAGTGCAGTGGTGTGATCTAGGCTCACTGCAACCTGTCTCCAGGGTTCAAGCGATTCTCATGCCTCAGCCTCCCTAGCAGCTGGGATTACAAGTGCCCACCATCATGCTCGGCTAATTTTTGTATTTTTAGTAGAGACGGGGTTTCACCATGTTGGTTTTGCTGGTCTCAAACTCCTAACCTCATGATCTGCCCTCCTCAGCCTCCCAAAGTGCTGGAATTACAGAGCTGAGCCTCCGCGGCCAGCCAGATCTATATTTTGATATAGAAGCATTTCTACCATATAAGTGAAAAATATAACTGTATAATGTGGGTATGTACATAATATATATTTACAGAAATCTTTGCAAAATTATATTAAAAAAGGAGGACACTAAATTGTTGAAGAAGTCCTGTAATGTGATTAAGGAGGGACAATTAAGTTTTATTAAATTTATTCCTGTACTATTTTAACTTTTTCAACAAGCATATATTCTGTTATTTGTATGACAGGAATGAGTAAAATTCAAGGCAGAAAACATTACATGTAATAAGAGTATTTGTTACTGAAAAATAAGACAATTTACAATGAATACAACAAAGACTAAAAATTATAAGCACTTACATGGATAAAACTGAATTTTCAAACTACTGCTAGTCTTAATAAAGGGTAACCTAAGTCACACATCAGTGGAAAACAGAAAGAGGTAATGGGTATTTAAAGATAATTAAATATACAATGCAGGCTTTCAGCTACAATAATGAAAAACCATCTTCTGACTCCAAACACTTTTCCAGAGAGAAAGGCAGTAGTGGGGAGAGGAGAAGGGAGAGGATCTTGAATAAAAAGGAACTAATCAGAACCTCTAGATTCCTTGCTTCCATGTTAAAAGAGGAATTTGGACATTATGAAATATGCCTCAGAGTACATTCACAATGCTAAGTTCACTTCTCTAAGTATTATAAATACCAATGACTAGTTACAGTTGGGGCCTTGGTAAATTACATAAATTAATGCCATCACAGAACTTAAAAAACCATAGGAGATCTGGGAACAGGTTATACTTAATGCATCCCTATAAAAGGAATTACCCATGAGCTTCTCTATGAATGCCTAAATGGTTACATAAACTTTTACTCCCAATCAATTTGAACGTGTTACCAAAAGAATTATATATGTATTATCTATCCATCATCAGTGTCTCCCTTTATTCTTTAAATTTTACTTGTTTACTTCATCCTCCAACCTGAACACTAGCCCCTCTATTTCACTTTCACTAGCCCAAAACTGTAGCATCAGGCATCTAATCCCTTACTTAGAATTAAGTCCTAAAGGGTCTTAAAATTGTCCGAATATATTGGATTTTAAAAATATTTTTTATTACATTTTAGGTTTTGGGGATTTAAAAAATATTTAATAGGCTAGAAAAACTAATCAACTTGTCTACTCTGATTTACCTGTGTAAAATGACAAATCCATCTCTGTGTAGATTGTTAACATTTGGGTGGGGGTTTGGGGAAATAAAAAGGTGAATCGCTAATTTCCTAGGATTACTAAAAGCATTTGAAGGCATTTGATTGCACTAAAGATATGAGACCTGCAGCAAACATACATAAGAAGGTCCTATTAAGCTCCGAAATGATTTGAAATATTGTTTGCTAAAGTCTCATGGCCTCAACAGGTCCCTGTGGAGAGAAGTTGCTTGGCAACTGGAACTTTTATTTGCCAGCAGGTAAGTTAATATAAAGCCTTCTATATTATATACTACCTTTTCTATTATGTTGTTTGTTCTCATTGGTCACAGCATTCTGAGGACAGGAAAAATAGGTGGTTACTTAAGATAGTAACAAATTGATAGAGAAAAAATAGAATATAAAGTTATACTTAAATGAGTCACTTTACAACCTTTTTCTTCCCCTTCCTGTCCTTACCTCTCAAAGCAGAAGCAAACACATTTTACTCCTTTCTCCTCCCGACCAAGTGTCAGAAGAAATTTAACCGCCCTCCAACTCCCAAAAACCACACAGAGAAATAAAAGCATAATTGTAAGATTGCTCAAAGAAGTATGCAGCAGAAGCATCTGGGTATACAAGGGTAGTTTTATGAAAATAAAAGTGCTCATGAAGGAAGAGCAGAACAGAAAAGATACTGTCTTTGGAAAGGAGGGGCTCCAGCACAACCCTTACTTAATGTATAAATTGCACAGAAAGAAACATTAGTCAGGAAAAAAAAAGCCAATTACTAAGAAAATTGCTTCCAAACCACGGCAGCTACTGGAACACATTATTAATAGACGTAAGTCAGACCTGAGCACTAACATTTTTCCCCTTTTTCCCTTCACTGTAGAAAAACATTCCATGCAGTATTATTCCAAAAATCAAGAGCAAATAGACACTGGAATTCAATACTATATTATAAAATGCTGCAATTTGGAAATTTTGTAATAAGAAATGGCCTGAGTAGCTTGGGAATTTGCCTACTGAAATAACATAAGGAAATCGCAAGTATTTCACTTTTTAAAAATATATTTATTCTTGTTTAACCAGCACTGTATTTTCCCCTTTGGTATTCTTGTTCATTTGCTGACATAAACTTCTTCTCAAAAGAACCCCAACCAAGCTACCAAACTATCTGAAACTATCATAAATATTTTAGGAGGCAGCATTTTTGGTTATTGGGTTTCTTTCAAATAAACACTAATGTGTGCTACACAGTTTTTCCCAGAGAGAACTATGCTTAACATCCTGAAGAGAAGAGAAAGGGAAATTACTGAATGCTATAGTTAAGACAAGGTTCATTAAATGGAATCTCTTCCAAAGAGACCTCCCTACACTATACATCCATTTGGTAAATAAAATAATAAAAATAGTGTCCTTTAATAAATAAGAGAAAATTACATCTGTACTACCTAAACAATTCTCACCATGAAAACATGACTTGAAAATGAAATTCCAGTTTGAAGACACAGAAATCTATAAAGCTGGTATGTCTAATTACCCTCTTAAAGCAACTCCACAACTTGCTCTTTAAGGATAATTAGTTAAAAAACAAAACCAAAAAAACTCCCTCACTTGACTTTAGGCTGCAGGCACTCAACAATAAAGACTGTTATTAGTTATAGCTTAAATTAAGCTCAACCAATCTATTCTAAAACACCACCACCAGCACCACACAACCCACTATTTCTGATGCACCATTCTTTCCCTAGCTCCTTTCACAGTAACTTCTCAAAATAATATGAAATCAACTTCATTCAAGAAGCATTTTATTGCACACTTACTACATATTGTGCTACTAGCTAGAAACATAGACAAATGGCAACATAGGGACTTATTCCAGTTTATCACTAAATTTCTGATCAACTCTGAAAGACAGTTTTGATTACTTATAGGAATGCCTGGACTCTAAAGTATTCATTTATAATCACTGTCATAATAACAGCTTGTTGTTTGGGGGGTTTTTCTGCAGTGGTAATTCAATTGTTTTTACCTTCATTAGCCTCTGGCCTTGAATTCTTGATATATGCAGAGAATTTGGCAAAGATGTCCATTCCAGCAGTATTTGATTCTGGGTGTTTTGGTGAAAGCTTTAAGTACCTAAATAGAAAAAGTGATACAGATTATAGATCCTTCCAAGATACATTAGCATAAGTTCTCTCAAACCCTGTGCTAGCAGTTACTAGACATCTTTAATAGTTATTACATTAAGAAATAGCATCATTTGTTTTTGTTTTTTTCCTTAGGAGACAAAGCTCTGCACTGTGTTTTTGTTCACATATTAATCTTCTTGGCAACCACATGGCATCTGCACTCCACCTCCAGCTGATAAATTAGAATTTGGGGAAACAGTTGACTTGTTCAGAGATTAATGCCAGGCCAACGGGAGTCTTAGAATGAGACTGCTAGAGCAGTGCTGTCCAAGAGAATGTTCTGTGATGATGGAAATGTTCTGTATCTTCAGTGTCCAATACAGTAGCTACTAGTGCCATATACCTATTTGAATTTGAGTTTAAATCAAAATTAAATAAAATTTAAAATTCACTTCCTTAGTTGCACTAGTCACATTTCAAGTGCTCAGTAGTCACCAGATAGCAGAGCTCTCATGTCTTCTCAAACAGAGGACAACCAGATCCTCAGTATGCCCTACACGAAACCAGCCAGAGAACTCAATGGCAGGAAAAGCACGTAGGCTGGTCAATCATGACCACCCATAGCAGTTTAAGGACATAACAATAGAAGGCAGATCAATCGCTTGAAACCTACACCTGGAGTTTGCCAAAACCTCCCTTATATTAAACATTCCCTAGAATATTTATGAGGGTAGTACTGAACAACAAAAAAAAATAAGATGTCAGAAACACGCTGACAAGTGCTCTATTGTGTGATCACATTTTTCCACTTTCAGAACAGATGTAATACACCAGCTTTTTAAAACACACAAAATTGCGTATTTCAAAATATGCGTATTTTAGATTTAAAACACATATACTCTGTGTATATTTTTTCTTCAAATTGAAAAATATGTGAAAAAGCTCAATTATTCATCCTCTCTTTAGAAGGATTCATTCATGTTAGCCTCAGGAGTCAGGGCTAGAGGAATTCAGATTCTTAGCCCCATTTTAGGAAAGAGAATCAGCTTGAAGGTCCTGTAAAATGTCACTAGAAAATGGACTTGGGAGCAGTAAAACTTCAGAAAAAAAATCTTACAGTGTACTAGTTATTTCAGTTCATTCATGTATGTAAAGATACTATCTTACCAGTTTTGTTTAAATTAAAAATGAAGGGAAGTAGTTTTCGAAATTTAGTTCAGTTGCAAGTTGTGTTTCAGTTTTTATATTCATACTTCTGTTTACTATTTTGAATTCGGGAAGAGATGTATCTTCTAAATATTGAGCAGAGTACTATATGGGTAAGGTGGATGTAAACTATCTATTGACCGCTTATATGCTCAAGACATCTTTCTTTTAAAAAGGTCTACCTAGTCTCTAGATAGCTCTCATTTTTTAAGATTAAAGATTGATCTTATAAACACATAAACACAATTATTTACATAAAGAGTTTTTCCGTAAAAAATTATAGTTTCACCTGAATTTAGATATCTATATCTATCTAGAGGTACATTAACCATACATCCCCAACTATAGGACCCTTTACCCTCTCTACTTTTTTTTGTTTTTGCCTGAGCTGAAAGAGTTAATCACAGGTCCACTATCCCTGGATTTCCCTTGACTATATAAACAAGCCTCCAGTTTAAATGTTTGCACAGCTTGTAATACAGGACCATCACTGACTCAAACAAAAAACAGTGCAGTGAAAATAAGTGGCTTTTCAATATATCTATGTCTTCCTGTAGCCAAGTTTCTCAAACTCTCCTTTTCTCTAACCACTATTTAGCTGTACTTAGTTGTACTAATGAAGTAAGCTTCATAATTCTCAAAATGTACAGGAAGGCAGGCTTGAATTACAGATTATTTACATATTCATCATTCATCTATACAGTATAATTCTTATAATATGCCCTGTTGTCTCTCTGAGATGAATTACTAATTTTGTACATGTACGTGTGTGTGTGTGTGTGTGTGTGTGTGTGTGTGTGATAAAGAGAGACAGACAGACAGACAGGGTCTCCCTCTGTCACCCAGGGTGGAGTGCAGTGGCAGGATCTTGGCTCACTGCAGCAACCTCCAGGCTCAAGCGATCCTCCCACCTTAGCCTCCTGAGTAGCTGCAACTACAGGCATGTGCCACCATACTTGGTCAGCTTTTTGTATTTTTGGCAGAGACAGGGTTTCACCAATTTGCCTCAGCTAGTGCTGAACTCCTGGGCTCAAGTGATCCTCCTGTCTCAGCCTCCCAAAGTGCTGGGACTACAGACATGAGCCACTGCACCCAGCCTGTACTATTAATTTAATGCACAGAATAGTATAGCTATAAGTGAATGTTCACCTCAGATCTCTCATTTTACCTTAAAAGGAAATTGTGCTCCAGAATCACTCGACTATAATTAAAAGTATTAACAAATTAGGCTGGCGCAGTGGATCACACCTCTAATCCCAGCACTTTGGGAGGCCGAAGCCAGTGGATCATTCGGGGTCAGGAGTTCGAGACCAGCCTGGTCAACATGGGGAAACCCCGTTTCTACTAAAAATATAAAAATTAGCCTGGCATGGTGGTGGGCACCTGTAATCCCAGCTACTCAGGAGTCTGAAGCAGGAGAATTGCTTGAGACCAGGAAGCAGAGGTTGCAATGAGCAGAGATTACACCACTACACTCAGCCTGGGCAACAGAGTGAGACTCCATCTCAAAAAAAAAAAAAGTATTGACAAACTAAAACTGAAATCTCCTGTTCCCAGGTCCAGTGTTTTTGTTTGTTTCCATTACAGTTTAGATTTTCTCTAAAAGATAAATCAAATTCTAAACCAGTAGGTTCAAAATCAACTTTTATGCATCTTCCCCAAACATTACATTTTAATTTATACATTATTATTAGCTTTAGCAAATAGCTTAATCAAGCAATGGTTTTCAATTATTGTGAGAACTCATTTTAACATTTAACAAAAGGGAGGCAAATAATTAATAAAAGACTAAGTGTCAGTGACAGAACAGACATGAGCACCCAGGGTAAATAGACTTTCAGATTAGTCCTTAATTCTGCTTATATCACAGACTCTTAATGGTAGACTAGCTAAGAATGTTTCTATGCTTTTAGGAAAGATCTCAGACGTTTTTGCCTTTCCAGTGTTAATATAAAAATGAAGGCTAATTAGCCTTGCAAATCCTTTACTGTATGTCTCATTTTTAAAAAAAAGTGTAACAACATTTTATTGCATGCCCCTCCAAATTTATCTACTTCCCTTCTATTTTATCCTTTTATTAAGAAGTTAGCCAAGTATCTAGGCTGTTTCAGTTAAAAATCCAAGTTTCAAGGTTTTTAAGCAAAGTGGTTTCTTCATATTCAAACAAGAGGAACTAAAAAGTATACACAAAAGTACTTTCCCCAGAGAAGAGAAAGTTCACTTTAAAACCTACAGTTACACACACCAGTAAAAGTTATTTGATTTGAGCTTTTCATTAGTCTCTCAATGTTAAGCAACTCTAGAGTAGACAATTGCCTGTATTTATATTTATCATGATTAAATCAGGAAGTGTTCACAAAAAGCCACTTTGTTCTCAGTATCATCAAATGCCAAAAACATGTTATTAGAAATGCCAGTCAACTAGTCTGCACAATTCTCCCTTTTCTCCTCAACCTCTTTAGAAACAAAACGTCTTACAAGCAGAGGCTGAAGAAGACTAGCAATAAAGACCTGAGACCTCCTTGTTCTGGAAGGAAAAGGCAATGAGACAGAATCATCCCTGGCTGCCCCGGAACAATATAACACAATAGAGGGGTAAGAAAATAAACGCAGGTTGTAATCCTAAAAACACTTCCTCCTCCCACTCTTCACCTAGAAACAATTCTGCATGATGGAAATTATGCTAATTAATTAGCATTTCACATCCTGGGTGCACAGAGCCCACTAAGAAGAAGGTATTCCCACTTCAAACATACTGTTTCAATGCATACAAATAAATAAAAATTCATCAGAAGAGTTCAGATTCATCTACCTTTTCAAAGGAATTCACTGAATTAAGGGTGGGTGTGGTGACTCACGCCTGTAATCCCAGAACTTTGGGAGGCTGATGTGGGGGGATCACTTGAGGTCAGGAGTTCCAGACTAGCATGGCCAACATGCTGGCCATGGTGCAAACCAGCATGGCCAACATCGTGAAACCCCATCTCTACTAAAAATACAAAAATTAGCCAGGCATGGTAATGCATGCCTGTAATCCCAGCTACTTGGGAGGCTGAGGGAGGAGAATAGTTTCAACCCAGGAGGCGGAAGTTGCTTTGAGCCAAGATGGCATCACTGCACTCCAGCCAAGATGGCACCACTGCACTCCAGAGCAACACTCTGTCTCAAAAAAAGAAAAAGAATTCACTGAATTAAGTTTGATAACCACCTTTGGTCTAATTTGCTCATTGCAGTCAAGTAAACTATCTTTGATTTCCCGCCTACCTTTCCTCTAAACTTGAGCTAGCTTTCAATTTTCTACTCATTAAAGCACAATCCCAATTAAAGACTTAACATTTTCCCTCTTTTACAAAAGCCAAACCCAATAAAATGAGAAGTAGAAAGCAGAGAACAGATGAAACACAGATTTTTCAAGTCACATTGATATGGCTTCAAAAGTATCCCTGCTCTGCCACCATTAAGTATGAAACCTTGGACAAATTATTTGGATTACATCTTCAGTTTCTTCACAAAGTCTTTGTGAGGATTAACAGAGATAATCCACAAAATAACCCACAAAGCATAAGGCATGGCACATAATTAGCACTTGCGTGTAATTAATAAGAGCAGACGGATAAGCAGCATCAAAAACAGTCCCTGGCCAGTCATGGTGGCTCGCTCCTGTAATCCTAGCACTTTGGGAGGCTGATGCAGGCAGATGGCTTGAGCCTAGGAGTTCAAGACCACAGCTTGGGTAACATGGCGAGACCCTATTCTCAGACACTAATTGAAAGTATTGTCCTCTCTACAAAAAAATACAAA